GCGAGCTGCGAACGGTGACTGCAGGGGTCTTAGCTACTCGGAGCTTGGCGTGTGCTACCACTGCTCGCATCATGTGTTAGCCGCAAGCTCCGTCTGCAAGTGAGGTGCGCGGTGCTGTCGACCAAGGCTCATGGAAAAAACAGGCCGCGATAAACGCCTTCTGGAACACAGCCCGGCACTTGCACAAGGTCCCGTGAGAATGCAAAATCACGGATCCTAGTTACGAGCACAATGATCTGCAAAATAAGACATATTCGCACAAGACAGATGAATGATGATTAATGAATAATGCATATTCGCACAAGACAGAAGCCTCATGACTGGTCCAGTGGGCTGCGAACCCCGGAGGCCCCAAAAGAACTACCAGGCCTTAATGCCTGGACCAGGGATCTGGCTCTGGCTCAGAACCCGCAGGAGTTCCCAGAGAGCCCAGCACCGCTTAAGGAATGTACCAGAGATCATAAATCATGACCAGAGTAGAGAAAGAATGACAATGAAAACGGTGATTCTGAAGAAGAAGAAGAAGCAGAACAAGCACCACAGCAACGAAAACTATAAGAGGCCACACTACACCATTACCATTACACTCACGATGCATGGGGCTCTCGGGTCGAACCAACCCACATCCAAGCCGCCGGAGAGTCTGTGCAGGCCAGACCGTTTCGGGAAGGGGGATCAAGCTTTAGGAGGGTAAGGATCCGAGTGTCGGGCAGTTTGAGCCCTAGGGGGGGTAAGGATTAAGGGTTCTGGTAGGATGCAATTAGGGATTTGGGTTTAGGGTAGTTTAGGCTTCAAGGGGTACGGATGAAGGGTTTCGGGTTGACGGCTTAAGGGGCAAAGAATTTATTATTGACAGCAGCATCCATCAGAATTTGAGGCTTCAGGGTATTAACACTCCATGTAGTCTGAAAAAATCAGTGCCGGCCTTGCAGGTGTGCTGCAGGTTTGGGGGCTCTGCGAGTAAAGTAGAGGGAGGCATCCAAGATACGATACTACGATACTTTGCTTTACTGTATATAATTCAAAATACTACACTGTGCTATACTGCACCATATACTCTATACCCGAAACTCTAAATACACTCTATATCTGCATTATCTACCAAACACGATATACATACAATACAAAATATTGGGCACCATTGTATGCTTTTCTATATACATGATATGCTTACTATATACCATATACAATACTTCGTACTATCCGACAGACTATACTGTATACTGGACTTTGCGCTATGCTATATCCTATACAATATCTTGTACTGTACCCTTCACCTTACCCTGTACTATATACGAGAATACCTACTCTCACTCAGGTATGCGGTGTTACCTGCTACACTAGATACTAAACATTGTACTATAGTGTTGGCTATACTCTGTACTATACTTCAACCGAACCCTTTTTGTACAGCTGGCCATACCCTTTTTGTTAACCCAGACTCTGCCGATCAGCTGGGCATACCCTAAATCCTTTTTTGCATCCAGGCCTATTGCGACTGCCTGGTACCCTAAACCCTAAACCCTAAACCCCTAACCACAAAATACAAAAGCAGGTCAAGGTCGGCCTGCGGAGTCGCGCGATTCGGCTGGGATGGGATCTTCAGCAACGTATCATCACAACCGTCTTGCCAGGTTGTCAACCAGGTATCTGGGTTTAGGGTTTAGGGGGTTCACAGTTTAGGGCTTGGGGTTGAGGGGTTTAGCGGTTCAGCGATTTAGGGGCTAAGGTTTCTCATGCAGCCTTTATACTGCCACTACACCTGACACGTAAACTTCAACCACCGCCCAACAGGGCCAAACTACCAAAAGCTCTCAGCCAAGGCCAAACAGTAATTTGTCGAACCATGGACCCGCAAAACACTTAACTCCTCTAACCCCTAAACCTTCAAACTCCAGGAAAGAAACCCAGCTCACGGATTTGAGGCCGAGCCGACGGCTTTGAACCTGAAGGCTTTCTGGCCAAAAGATCTTGTCCGATTGTTGGAGGCTCCCAACTTCGAGGCCCATTAAGATCCTGTTTCAAAAACTTTTTGCCACCTACATTAAGAGCTCCCAAAGCTAGCAGACTGCCTCTAAAGTTTAAGTCTAGTACTTCTTTGCATCGGTACACTTCTCGAGTTGTGCGTGCTTGCGTGCGAGCTTGCGTGCTTGCTTGCGCGTGGGCGTGCGCGTGCGCGTGCGCGTGGGCGTGGGCATGGGCGTGGGCGTGGGTGTGGGTGCGGGTGCGTGCCTGGTGCATGCATGCATGTATGTATGTATGTAGGTCTGCGTATATGTGTATGTATCATACGACTTATGTATATGTATACGTATTTGTTTACTTGATTTAGATTGTGTTCAGACAGATGTCCTTGCATTTTGCAATGCAGGTGGCAAGAAGCTCTAAACCCAGATATGCCCTAAACGGGAATCCACCAATTCATATATACATGTTATGTACATATCTACCTATCGGCATATACGTGGTTGTGGCCATCAGGAGTCTTTGCATTCTGACAGTATTTTCGCCTTCCAGGTTTGGCTTGCATGGTAGCAGGTCAAGCCTAAGTGTGGGTTTAGGGTTTGCGGCCTTAGGTTTGGGGCTTTCTTGCGTTGGGATTTGCCTGTCTGCCACCAGAAAAAGAGAAGAGCAGAAGGCAGAACCAACCACCAGAGAACGAAGTCAGCATTGAACCCCTGGGCGGGGTAAGGCACAAAATGTGCGGCAGTGAGCGGACAGTTTTGTCCAACGGAGGTCAACGATTTGCCCATCCACGCTGGTGCCCCAGAAGCACACGACGATATCATGGGATGTCCTGGGCAGATCCTCAAACCTGTGTGCCACGGGCCAACATCTATAAGTTGGCTGCACTCTACCTCAAGCCAAGTACAAGCTGCATGCAATGCAGGACTGGCCATGACTCGTGCAACCAGGCGGATGGCAAGCACGGCCGTGCTGCAGGCTGGCACCCACGAACACCCAGACTTTGTCGCAGCCAATGCCCTGAAAGACTGCCAACTGTTCAAGATGGGGTATACTGCCTGAGCTGGATACTACCTGCAGGAAGCAAGGCACAACTCACTCACCCACACATACAGACACACATACTTCACAAACCAGGCATTATACATTACAGTGCATTACAGTACGCTACATTGTGTTGTGCTACTCTAGGTTATGCTACATAACATTAGACTCATGGGACATGAGATTACATTACCTTACATTACAATGCATTACAGTGTACGCATTACATTACTCTACATTGAAATCTTTGCAAACCCAATATAACTCATGGCACGGCATGGTATGGCATACATTACACTACCTCACATTACATTGCATGGTATGGCATGCCATGCATTACATACCTCACACTCATTACGTACGTGGCATGCATTACATACACACCTGCACACATACACACCTACGCACATACATACATACAGACATACATACCTACATGCATACAGACAAACAAACAGACGTACAGACATACAAGCCTACGCACATAATTAGAAGGTACATACACGCATACATACAGAAATACACATGCATACACATACTGACACGCGTAAGCGAAGACATACATGCAGACATGCATTACTTACATAACATATACTGATACATGCATACATACGTACGTGCGCACGTAATACACAAACATATACGTATAGTGTATATGTATATATATGTATATACATATAGATATATACACATAACTACATACGTACGTACGTAAACATATACACATATACACATAAACACACGCGCACATGTATATATATATATATATATACATATACTTATATATACTTACGTACATATCCACCTGCCTGCGTGCATTATGTCTACATACACATATACATATACACATATATACATATATACCTGTATACCTATATACCTATATACATATATGCATAGATACATATACAGACATACGAAACTATACACGTAAACATATAACCATATACCTAAATACATATACATTGGTACATCTATACATCTATACGTCCATACACCTGTACATATATACACATATACTTATTATACACGTGTATATATATATGTACATATTACATATACACGTATATGCATATACAAATAACATATACAAATGCATGTACATGTGTATGTATGTATATATATATATATATATGTATGTATATATATATATATATATGCACATACATGTATGAAGCATGCGTGTGTGTGCATATACACATATGTATGCATGCATGTATGCATGCATGTATGCTTCTATGTACGTATGTAGGTCTGTACATATGTACCTGTCGACGTATGCCATGCAGGTGTGCACTCTCATGCGCTCTCCAGCTGAAACATGATTTGCCGCATGTTTCATGGCCTCTGCGTGCACCAATGCAACGAAATGTGAAACTGATGCATGAGAAGATGTTACGGGATGTAGTCAGATAAAGTCCTTCGCAGTTATGCGGCACTTTTGTCAGGCTCCATCTCTAGGATGCTATGCCCACAGCTCGGGATCTGGATTGGAGACTCGGCGCAAATTCTACAGGCGCCGGCGCCGGAATATCCGGCCATCGCGGCCAGTTTGCGCTATGCGACACAGCCCTAGAAACTTGCCGTTGGGAAGGAGCTTTCTACCGATTTCCCCGGCCTGTCCCCCCCATTGGCTTGCAACACGCCTGTGGCAAGAACGCCGAGACTTCTGCAACAACAGGAGGGCCGACAAACCACAATGTAAGGGCCTTTGGTCATTGGAGTCGCGTTGTGTTTTTTTGGGGGGGCAAAACGACATAGCGAGTAGAAGTACTGCGACTGACTCTTCCACTCCTATTCTAATAGCTAGGACAAACTAACAAACCGGAGCACTTTCCATGATCTCTCCGAACGGATGGTTGGGAGCAGAAACAGGGACAATTTCAATCGAGAAATGCGGACTCATACATCATATATGTAGACCTATATACGTACGGTTCTAATGGCATCGAGGCCCAAGTGCAGTCGCCTTGGTGTTCCCAACACTTCGTTCAAGCATTGACTTGCACAGTTCGCCGCAGCTTCTCCATCTCGTGACGAGCGGCATCCACAAATACACCTGAGCTCAGTGTGGCACGGTTTTCACGAGGCGCTCCACTTCTGAGCAAAGCCTGGCCAACTAGAAAAGAAGGCACGATTCCAAGCAGCCTAAACGGCAAACTGCACCCATCAGTCACGCGGAGCCACCCGGCTGCATGTTGTGAAGCAGCATTGCCATCAAGCTGCCTTGACAGGAAGTCGTGACCATCTTCACATCAGAACTGTTCCAGCTCGGGGCCTAGGGCTCCCTTGTTCAGACTGTCGCGAGCAAAGCGAAGCTTACTGAAAGCCATACACAACACTCCACCCAGCCCAATTTATGAAGTGCGTCTCAGTGAGACAGCGAGCACACTCTTGCACCATCCTATTTACTGAGTGGAGTTGCTGTTGCCGTCCTATCACTGTCGTCATTGTGGCCGTGGCTCTTGCAGTTGCTTCTTTCATGCTGTTTTCTACTGCTACCACTGGGCTACCACCGGTACTGCTACTGCTACTATACTACCACTACAACTACTACTATACTGCTACTGCTTACTACTACCACTGCAACATCAAGAACAACTACTACTACTACTACTACTACTACTACTACTACTACTATGACTACTGCTAGATCTACTTCTACTACTACTACTACCACCACTACTACTACTGTTACTACTACTGCTACTACTACTACTACTACTACGACGACGACTACTACTACTACTATTGCTACCACCACCTCCACCACCACCGACCTACTTCTACTGCTGCTAGTGTAACTTCTGCCGCTCCTCCGACTACCACTACCAGCACCACCACCAGAAGTGACTGACAATATCTGCGCCTTTTTGTGAACTCACAGCTGGCCTTGGCTGTTTAGCTGGTCATATGGCGGCCTTCTACCCTTTCTTGGGACTGTTGTTTTGTCCTTGCCGCCGTGAAAAGGGGGCTAGCCATGTGAGACGAGGACGGTGTCCACAAACATTACTTATCAAGATTCGGATGAATGCTAATTCCAGCAGAGGCACCGAAGGACATTCGAAGCAGAAGGTCCTTCAGATACTCCTGGGCGTGAACAAAGTGTGCACTGATGGAGTGTGCACTGATGGGTTCAAAGTCAGGCTTGGGGAAGTTCTAGAACTTCCGCAGCAGCCTCTGTTTAGGGTTTCGGGTTTAGGAATATGCTCTCCCCTCTGTTGACTTCCAGCTGCGGTCGATTAGAAGGCTTGCGCTGCGCGGAAGCACCCGCAGACGCCCATCAGAATCGCCACTTACACAAAAAGTCTCTCTTACATGCCGTGGGACGGGCGAGTCCCTGCAAAGCTTGTTTTGAAGTTAAGGGCTTAGCTTTACTGGGAAAGACCATGAGAACAGGAAGAAGAAGACTCCAGCAAATGCACGGTAGTCAAAAAACTGCCGCGAAAACTGACGGCAGAAGTGCAGAAAACAACCACAAGAGTGAAGTCATCCACACCACGAAGGACAATGCCTATAAACGCCTTTACGATCCTCAATCTGCGTGCAAACGTTCAGGCTGGCTGCCAAAAGCCTCAGAGGCATGTTCATCCTGTGACTCGTCTGTGGCCTCTTGGCCTGGCTAGGCTTTAATCTCGCACGCCGTCCTAGCCCCTCTTTCATCGGCAAGAGTCTGCATCGTCACCGACGAGCTTGGCTGCTCGAGGCGTGCCCTGTGTACTCCTTACAGGAGTGCTCTTTGAAGGATACACAAGAGGGACCTCCGGAACTTGCACCAAAGAGTAATTTTAAGAAGCACTTCGACGCGGCAACAACAAAAACAAGAAAGGTGGATACATACCTAGACGGATAAGCTAGATAGGTGAATACATAGATGGATGGATAAGACAAACGGACAAATAGACTGAATAGACAGTCAGATAAGCACGAATAGATAGATGGATAGAAAGCAGATAGATACGACAAACAAGATAGCAGAAACAACAGTAGACACATACAAGTAGTTAGATTGTCCGATTGGTAAACAGATATGTAGACAAACAGATTGAGTGAGTGAGCATCGGCGCAGCATCTGTCTGGCCGAAGTCACATGCCTGGCCTTGCAAATTGGCGACACCTCCAGCTCGAAGGCTGAAAGTGTCGGCCGCAACAACACCACACGACAACAAACAACAACAGCCAACAACGCAACGACGAGGCAATCACGACGCGGTGGCGAAAGGACCGGATTAAGCGGAAGGGCGTTTGCATCTGAACAAGCAACCGCTGGGCCCCCCACCCCCACCCACCGGGCAGAGGCAGGCCGGCAGAAGCTTCGTTCAGTGCGGCTCTTACACCGTCACCTCCGCTTCGGACAGTGCGCCCTTCGAGTGCCTGTAACCAAAACAAATCCCTCTGCAGCTCCCTCTGCAGACCCTAAGTGCCCAACCCGACCTGTACGCACCCGGACCTACTCACATCACTGCCTCATCTACCTCTACACTAGCTCCACCATTGCCAGCACACAAGCGGCCCCGCCCACCAACGGCAATATTCTACCACCCCCATCAAAGCTGGTCTCAGATCAGTGTGCCCTCCGAGTAGTGGGAAGAAGCCTACCTTTGTGGGCAACCTTCCCCAGAGGAGGGGTACAGACACAGAGATAGATGGATACATAGACGGATAGAAGATAGGTATAGGCAGATAAAGAGGTAAAGATTAACAGATAGAGAGAAATGGATAGGCGCAGGGATAGGGATGAGAGATGAGAGACAAAGCCAGAGCCGGAGAGACAAAGAAAGAGACACACACACACACACAGAGAGACAGAGAGAGACGGAAAGTGACAGCGAGAGACAGAGAGGGATGGAGATAGAGATAGAGATATCGATAAGTATAGAGGTAGAGGCAGAGATAGAGATATTGATGGAGATAGCAAAACAGATAGCTTTGCAGCCAAGCCACAAGGCGGCCTCCAAAATCTCGAGAACGTGCTCCTGGGTGTTCCGGAGACCCTTTAGCGAGCAGAGTCGCTGTTCCTTCTTCCTGGTATATTCGCAACAAAAAATGTTTCCAGGTAGGGATTCAGGCGTCAGCTTGCTGCACAATGCCCGCCCGCCGAGCCTCAGACCTCAATTCGTTCCGGCTTAGACATGTATGAGCATAGGGGAGCTTCCAAAAATAGGAGGCCCTAATGTAGTACCCGAAATAGTACGTAGGATCCCTATCATAAGGACCCAAAAATAAAGTACCTACCCCTAATTTTCGGGTTTGGAGGTCCGCTCTGAGCTGCATCCTCCCAGGGGTCGTACCCACGACTTAGCTCAAAATCAAAACATTCACTGCTGAACTCGGCAGGTGTGCAGGCAAGACCCTCCAAGTTCAGATTGAAGCACAGAGTGCACTGAGAGGATCCCTGGCCATGTCTGCCTGCCCCTGCTCCGTATTATAATTGGCGGGTGACTTCTATGGCGAAGCAGAAGAGCAGCCATACTATTTATTCACAAGAACAGTAAAATCGCAGCAGCACTATCTGGAAGACCAGGCATCAGTGTAGTTGGATTGTGGTAATTTAACAATTCATAGCTGTTAGAGGTTCATGACCCGCATCCTTGAATCGAGACTGCAGCATGCACTGGAAGTGCGGGCTCTTGTGGCTGAAGCTTCCAGAAAAGCTAGTGCTACAACAGTCCTGAAGGACGTCTTGGATTTCGATCATAAAGCTTTATGGGGTTGTACAGGGTTTTACAAGGCCGAGGGAGTTCAGGGCTTCGTAAGGGATGGCAGTAGCTCATCCCCCCAGGTCTCCTCCTCTGGAGGCTTGCTGCCATGCCGCCAGAGTATCGGCAGAAAGGTGTGCAGCCTTGGGTTTAGGGGTGTTCTGCTTGCCTTCGAAGAGACGGTGGCTCAGGATCCAGGGTCGAAATCTGCGTATGCATCAAGTCTGTTTCATCGTGGCATGGCTGGAGTATGTGGCAATGAAGATGGCCACCTTTCTTATCGCACTGCGGCAGTCTACAGTCTACAAGTGTGTCATCAGCACTCTCGCTACAAAAGTCCCGAAGTTTACATCCGAGTTCTTCAAATCAGATCGCTTCCTGAAATCTGAAAGCCCCTGTGTGCCGTGAATTATCTGGGCTAAGGCATTTCTTGCGGGCTTTCCCCGGTAAGATAGACCAGGAACAGCTCCGATTTGTTCAGTTTCCGGAGAACGCTGCGCTGCCTCTTCGGCCGGCAGGCTGCATGAGAGCAAAGAGGGGTCTTGTAATAGCAATTGTTGTTCTCAACAATATTTAAAAATACTCCTAGACGGATCTTACAGTCTCGCTGTCCGAGAAAGCAGGATTGCGGTTTAAAGTTCAGGCCTTGGCAGGTTGCTGGCCCAAGTTCTGCAAGTTGCGACAAAGAGCAGAAGACTGAACGATGCAAGTTGCTCTTGGATGAGCGAATGTCATGTCCATCTTCTTGCATCTACGCTCTTCCACAAGTCCCGTCACCATTGTTGGGGTTTCCGGACTAAAACTTGTATGACATATTCTCCCCGGGACTCCTTTATCTCATAGTTGAGGGGTGTTACTTGTCTCCTACTTCTCGAAAATCGGGGATCCTAATTAGCACCCCAGATAGTAGGATCCATATTATAAGGACCCCAAAAGAAGGTACCCCTAATTTTCTAGAAATCTTGCGCTGTCCATAGGTCCTGTCCTGGGAGGGGCTCCCCGCTCCGTGCAGGTGCAACGAAAAGGCTAAAGGATTCAAGAGATCTGGGGGTTTCCGAAAACAGTGGTACCTCATTTTGGGTCCTTATAATAAGGATCCTACTATTTAGGGTAATATATTAGGGTCCCCTATTTTTCGGAAACTCCCATCTAGAGTCGCGCGCGAGCTCTCGCCGATGCCTAGTCTCCAATAAAAACATCCTTTTTCTGGTCTCCCCATGAGGTTGGGTTTCGGTCCCTAGGGTCAGTCTTCGATCGAAGATCTTGACCATAAGTTAAGTTGGCAACCCTTTGGAGAGTTTTGGTGTAACCAACTCACCGTCACATGCAATGATGGCGCACCCGTACGGAACCTCTCTTCAACACATGCACCCCCAAAAGACCAGTAGGTTTTTGCACGCCAAGCCGAGAGCTCCCTCGGCCTCCGGTCTGGCAGGCGCAGACGCTTCTCGTGGCGAAGGTGGCAGTAGCCGCAAGCGTCGCCGTTCTCGCACTGGCCGACTTGGAAAAAGACACCTCTCAACCACGTTAGACTATAATGGTTGGGATAGGATTTAAAATGCAAATTTGCATTCCTTATTGGGTTTAAGTACCCATAAAGATGTAAAATGTTACCCAGCTATGACAAAGTTAGAGTCGGTCAAGGAACCCTACTTTAAGTGCAAGCACCCGCTGGCCAAGAACCCAATGGACTCCATGAAACTCGACACTGAGGGGTAGTCCTTGATTCCGTGGAAACCGGTCTGAGCTGGGTGCCTAACAGACTCTCCGAATTTCGGAATTTCCGTCCAGGCACAAGGCTTGCGGCACACCTGAGAAGCAGTGATGAGTCTGAGGGGTTGGTGCGCAAAATGAAATCATCGGCGTACAAGAGCTTGCCAATGTCTGCTGCGATAGCAAACCCTCCTCCGAGCCAACTAAATTCCCCAAGATGAGGACTGCTCGTTGGAGTTTTTTGGCTCCCACTTGGCGTGTCTGGCGACCCGCATTGCAGGTTTCAAGTTCCACAAGCTTCGTACCCCGCCCGTTGCTGTGTACAGGCCTGCTTTGAAACATGAACTGTCATATCAGCCGGCTACAGTCCACAGTAGCTACATGTAGCTACAGCAGCACGTGACATTCTGCAGCGCCGTCGTGGCATGATGTTGTTGGATTGACGCTGTCACAGAGACTGATTGGCCGGCCATGCCCAGATCCCCAAACCTTCGAGAAAACACCCAGCTCTGATGCTAGCCATTAAGACAATGTATTCGGGCTCGCTATATGAATATTCATTATTTTGGGGTTACAGGCCCAGGGTCTCTTAATCAGGTTGCTACATTAGCAGCTAGCCTATGAAACGCTGAGTACTGCTCATTGAGCCATGGGGCCTCTGGATGCCCATAGCTTCCAGGATTGGCGGCCGAATGAACACCTTCATCAACCACGACCTGCCCGGAAGTGCGCGAGTGCTTTAGTGCTTTGGTCTCGCGCCCACCGGACCGTTCAGAAGGTAGCGACAGGTTTGCGGTTTTGCGGTGCGCAGCTATTGCTGTTGCCGACTGCATTGCTGGGTACAAACAGCATCACCGAGTGTCATTGCTCTTACCACGAACGCCTTGGCTCAAAACGAATTCATGTACAGCATCTCCCGGCTTTGACAGCTTCCATCTGTTCTCCGCTACGGGTGCATTCCTGGCGGAAAGCTTCGGATCAGCTTCGAGGATGGGCCTGGCTCTTCAGCAGGATACGACTGCTGCTTCAAAACCCTAAACCACTAAACCCTGCAGCAGGCTTCTCTCGCCTGGAACACCCCTAAACCCTAAACCCTAAATGAGGCATACCACGGCGACGATGGTTCAAGGTCTATGGGCCCCCTACTGTGACCAATGTTCTTATGAACGGTGCTCGGCGGCATCTTGCGGAGCGCAACGAGGAATCTTCCTGTTTCGTTCTCTTTCTCTCTGCCGTGCCATCACCAAGAGTTTCGCAATGCAAGGGCACGAAAACGCCGGCTAGAGTATCAGGAGGCGTAGCGCGAACGCTGAACCTCCGTCATTCTTCCAGCTTCTTTGCTTTGCTATAATCACACGAATACTACGTTACTACTAATAGCTAATCGTCATAGTGCCTACGATAGACAAAGCAAAGACAATGCTCGGAATAACACTGATAACATAATAGTAACAATAATAAGAATAATAGGGGACTTAAACCGACTGGGATTGGGATGAGGCTTGATCTGCCTTTATCGGCATCACAGTGCGCCCATAATGCAGGGGCCTTCATGATTTGAATAGGTTTTGGGGCATATTCTACTATAAGTAAAAAGAGGAACCCCAAAATCTTTTTCTAATTATTAAGGCCCCTACAACTAGAGTGGAACCTCGTGGTCTTCCGGCGCGTGCGTCGGCGTCGACTCCAGCGTCTCATCCGAAGTTCCGTATCCGGAGGCATCCGCAGCTTCTTGCAAGGGATGGAAAAAAGGCTGTGGCGAGACGGTTGAAGCCAAAAAACTGAGCAAAGGAGGCGAAAATTATGGTACTTTGGTGTAATACCAGCCGAAACTGAACCATAAACAACTTCGAAAAATCTGGTAGTAAGAGCGACGCGCACGATTTATGCCCTTCATCGGCATTGTGCTTCGAGGAAGGCCCACAAACAAAAACACTTCGGCACACAGTAGCAACGTAGCTGATCGTTTGGGCACACATTGGCCAATCAGGGCGCAGGGCTCGGAGATTAGAACGTGCCCTAAGCTAGGACGGAGCCCTTGTGATCAAAAAATGTCGAACACAAACCGAACCAAACGGACCATCAAACCTACTGTAGGAACCTGATTAAGAAACCCTGGGCCTATAACCCAAAAATAGTAGGATTCATATAAGGAACCCCTAATAAAGGCCCAAGGCTTCTTAATCAGGTTCCTGCATTACTGGTGGCCAGCCTCCGGGAGCGGAGAAAAGATACATGTATATGCATCTGGACAGATACGTAATGTTTTGTATGCATACCTCCACAGTATGTATGTACAAATATATATATATATATATATATATAAGATATATATATATATATATGTACATACATACATATGTATATATGTATAGGACTGCTACTACTACTCTTACGAGTAGTAATAGTAGTAGTAGTAGTAGTAGTAGTAGTAGTAGTAGTAGTAGTAGTAGTAGTCCTCCTCCTCCTCCTCCTCCTGCTGCTGCTGCTGCTGCTGCTCCTGCTCCAGCAGCTGCTGCTGCTGCTGCCAATACTGCCACTATGACCACCACCACTACCACCACCAACACCAGCACCAGCACCAGCACCAGCACCAGCACCAGCACCAGCACCAGCACCAGCACCACCACCACCACGACTACAATTACGATTACGACCACGGCGACGACGACGACGACTACTACTACTTTCTCCTGCTGCTACTACTACTACTACCACTACTACTACTACTACTACTACTACTACTACTACTACTACTACTACTACGACTACCGCTACAACACATATATATATATATATATGTATACATGTATAGAACTGACAAAAGGTGTCCAAGAACTGAGAAAATAGTACCGAAACAGCTTTCGCGGTCCTTCTTCCACCGTGGCCTCTTCCGAGTTCTGAATCTCTGACCCCGACACCTTGGATGCGAGTTTCACGTTTCGGGTGGGCCTTCGTGATCCTTGCGTGCCTCCGATCCGAGTGCCCAGGCAGAAATTCAAGCCAGAATCTACTGAAAGAGCGAAGCATTACCTTAAACCCCGAACCCAAACCCTAAACCTCAGACACAAAGCCGGCAAGTCCGAGACGGCCGTGGTCGGAGAGTCGATCTCCGACCTCCACTCCTCCATGCGCTTGTAGACGCTCGCCAAGTCCTTGCTCACCTCGCAGGGGGATGCCGATGTGCTAGGGTTTGGGGTTTAGGGTCTTGTTTAGGGTTTAGGGTTTAGTTTAGGGTTATTTGGACAACGAGCCGGCGAGAGTGAGAGAGAAGGGGTGAGAGAAAGAGAGAGCATTGTTTGCAAAAGCAACCCCTTCCGGCTGTGCTTCCTGCGGACCACACGGCATGTCGTATGGCTGCATTGTCAAAATCACCGCAGGGTGTGGTTCAATCTTTCCTTCGTGAAACGAAGCCTTGTTGCTGCTTGCTGAATTTAGATCAACGTTAGAAATCTGCTCTGGTTCTCTCTACTCTACTCTTTGCTGTTCTTGATGCTGTAAATCAGACCCTCATTCGTCCACCCTACACCCTGTACATCCACGCACACTGCAGGCCCAGGTGCCCTCAAACCCCACCTGGAAATCCTCATCCTCCTCGGCACGGCGCGCCGCAGGAACGCTGCTGCATCGGAACAGCGTCACGCACGGCTCGTCTTCGATGTCGATGAAGGTTCTTCGGTAGCACAGAGACCTTGGCTGTGACAAGCTGCGACTATCGAATGCCAGGGAGCTGTAGAAGTTCTCGATGAACAGCAGTCAAGCCACATGCGTGCAAAAGGACAGACAACTTTTCACAGGATTCTCTGTGATTCTGTAAACCGTGCGCTCGCTTGAGCCAGGACTGTGCCAGAAGTTTAGCACCAATAAACACCCGAAATGTGTGATGACCACGACAGCTAAAGATGCTAATCATGAAAACTGCTGGAACCCCGAAGCCTTCGATACGAACGTGTATATAAGTATATGTGTAGAGCGATTTTCGAATTTTCGTTGGCTCAGCTGACAAGCAATCCCACAGGAATTGGAAACTTTTCCCGATTCCTAGGCCCTCTCTCAAGCAGACAATGCATCTTGGATGCAGCCGCCCCTGGAAACGTACAGAGACTGCGGGCTACAATTTTAGCAGCCCGTCCGTCTATTTGGGAAATTGGCCAGTGGTGATCGGCCAATCTCGCTCAGACCGAACTTTTCGTGCTGTGCAGCACAGGCACCCTGAGCCCTGAAGGAACAAACGCTAGTCAGCCGCTAGTTGAGCGCTGACTCATGATGGCTCAGCTTCTTTCTTCGAGGTCGAAATCGCCATCGGCCTCTTCAACTTGCACCTCCGGCTGTCAAGAATCCGGATCATGCCTGCGCCTCCACCCCCCCCTTCCCCGAACATGAATGTGACGCTTCGCCAAAGCACAGCTGCGAACCCTCCCGTGCTCTAACGGTGAGGCCTGGCCGATGTTAAAGCTACCGTTGGGATAAATCCGGTCTCGATAAGCCTGGCCGGGTGGTTGCAGTAATGATAAAAATTACAATAATAACAATAATAATGGTAATAACAATAACAATAATAGTAATAATAATAATAATAATGATAATGATAATGATAATAATAATAATAATAAATAGTAATATATCAATAATAGAAATAAGAATAATAATAATAATAGCAATAATATTGATAATAGAAATAAACAATAATAAAAATAAAAAATAAATAGTGATAATACTAATAATAGAAATAATAATAATAATAATAATAGAAATAATAATAATAATAATAATAATAATAATAATAGCAATAAGATTGATAATGGAAATAAGAATAATAATAATAATAATGATGATAATAATAATAATAATAATAGTAATAGTAATAATAATAATAATAATGATAATAATAATAAAAATAGTAATAATAGTAATAATGATAATACTAATAATAATAATAATAATAATGCTAATAATAGTAATAGCACATAATATTAATACTGCTCTTAGCGGAGACTTCGCTGCAGGGCTTCGGCTCCCAATCTGGAGCTCTTGTGCACACTCTGTGGCTACAGATCTCGGAGAATTTTGGGCTCCATAAGAGTTCCTTAAAAGGGATCTATAAGAAGGGATCTATATGGGTCTACTTAAAGGGATCTATAAAGGTTCTATAAGAGTTCCTTTAAAGGGATCTATAAAGGTTCTAAGTCTAACTTGGGGCTTCATGGACGGTCCGGGTAGAGCATCCTGATGACCCAGAGTGTCAACCAGACATTCTCGGGATGCCATCTGCGGGAAAGTCCACAGAGGCGAGCCAAGTCGTGGCCCATACGCCACTAGTTTAGGGATTAGGGATTAGGGTTTAGAAGTCCTCGGAGAGAAGGGGACTTTGAAGGTCTGCTTGAGGACCATAAGGCCCGCTAGCTGTCAGAAATCGCCTCCTCCATTGGCCATCTAAGCGCTGCGCTCCCGACGGCGTCGGCTACCCACCTGCAGCTCCGTCAACTTCATGCAACAATTTCTCGTCCTGGCGAACCGGAACAGCGAAGGTCCTTGAGCCTAGCCTGAAATAAAATAGGATTCTACCTCGCGCGAGAGACTCTGTGCCGGCAAAATCATACAAAGACAGACAGACAAAGAAACAGTTGTGGAGTGAAAGAAAGCGAGAGCCAGCCAGTCGGAAATACTTCCGCGAACTCTGCAGCGCTTGAAACAGTGTCTCGCTCTACCCCAAGCCTACCAGAACTCAAGTTAGCCCGACAAGTAAGAAAGAGGGCACCAGCATTTGAATCTGCACCAACAGACGAAATCCAACAAACAGACGAAATCCAACAGATAGTCACCTGAAACTACTGCCCAGGCACAGATCACAGATGAAGGTCGTCAGGGATGGGCGAAGCGTCAACTCTAGCCACTGATGCCGCTCCTCAGCCATGCGACACGCGACCAATATACTCTCAGTCCGCCAGTCGGCGATTCAAAAGCACGCAGACCCCGCACCCCAACCTAAGATGCACCCGGCTGCGCGCCAACATCGCAGATGGCATTCGAACACTTACTTGTTGTTCGCGAGCAACGGCAGACGCATGCAAAGCTGTCAGCAAGCCTCTTCGCGACGGTGCAACCCGCGCTCACACCGACTTAAGCAATATGGTTTCCCGATAAACAAACCCCTTCCCAAGAATCCAACTGTGGAAGCCTCCTAAAATACCTCTTGAATACCCCTGGGCCCCTTAACCCTAAACTCTGAGCCCGAGGTTCTACCCCTAATACAAGGGCCTTAACAATTCCAGACTTGGAATGAGGAGCCCCACAGGGAACTCTCTCTTTAACTCTTCCTCTTTCTCTTCTCTTTCTCTCTTGCTTACCCCCCTGGCCCGAAGGCCTACCCGGTTCGCGTCTGTCAAGTCTGAGCGGCCCCTTCCGGGGTTGGGAGTGATTCCGTTCCCCGTCTGTGCCTGTTTACCCCCTCCCGCCAACGACCAAGCCTCCTAAACCATCACCTTGGAACACCTTTCAGGCTCCAGATCTTTCATCCGGGGCTCCCCAGTTCGACTAAGCGGTCTGTGGGCAGCGCACTTCCCTCCCTGAACTTCACGACCGGGGACCGGGGATTGCGAAGGCTCAACACAGGCTCTCTTTCTTTCTTTCTGCAGGGCGTAGGGGTCGCGCGCGCCCCCCAGGCCTTTGGCCCACCCAGCTCACCCCCTGTGTTATGGAGTGGCTGGTATCGGGGTCTTTCCTGACTACGGCATGGAAATACGCAGTGTGCTCCTCGTTTTCGTGTAGTCATCCCCACCTAGAACGCTATACCCCGCGCATCCCGGCCTCATCACCGGGCCCCTGTGGCTACCATGACTCCTTAGCCTTTCTAGGTGGGGTACACGGTGAGGGCAACTGCTGTTCTGCAGCAAGGTGGGGCCGGTGTCACGTCCCCCTACAAGTAAGTTACCATATCATGCCTCCCTCTCTCTCTCTCTCTCTCTCTCTCTCTCTCTCTCTGCTAATTGCATTAGTCATTTTTGCCGACCCCTACATTACTTTCGGAGGTCCACGGTTTTTGCGTCCCAGCCGCCGGCTTATCGGCGACCTCCACGGACTCATCGGCCTCTGAGAGGATTTATATAATATCCTTAAAGATAGGAATGGGGTTTTGGACTCCTTTATGATATGCTTGTAACAAGGAACCCTAGTAGGAATCATAGGGCTGTATTTAGGCTTCTACATTATGGGCCTCCGGCCTTGGGGTTTCGGCGCTCAGAACTCATAAGGTGAGTGATGATTGAAGGCCAAATATCAAATATCAGCCATCAATTTCAATGGTCGGCCTCTAAGTCACAAACTCCCCCTGACCTCGTCGACCTCCGAGACAACAGCTGAAGCCATACTCCGGAGAATCGTCAAAACGAGACACATGCAATAAACCCCCAAGCGATCCTTTTGTCCTGTATGCATATACACCATGACCTCTTGGCACCAATTCCACCAGACAGCGCCGCGAAATCACGCAAGTCTCGGGTTTAGGGTTTACTTCTGGTAGAGATCCCAATCTCACGCTCAGCACTGACACTACACATCGCGAACCGGTTGCAGAATGTCTCCTGAGCCCCTCAGGACTCAGCGTCCCTCCTTCTCGCCGAGGTTGACACCGCCCCAGGAGTACCCGCCACGGTACTTCATGTCGATGCCAAGGACGCTGCTGAAAGGATACCTCAGAACGGCCCGCTTTGCCTTCTAGCCTTCGAGGCAATAAGCCTGCCCTGAGCCCTCCGACCCCCTCCCGAACCTCCTATCTCTGGCCCGAGCAAATCGGGTCAAGCCCGGGTCGCGGAGAATACAGAATGCTCTCTTCGCAAGATCATTTCATCATGGTACAAGTATCCAGACCACATCTCAGTCTCTTACGCCCTTCAATGCTCAAGGTCTCGAGGCGAGCCTTGTAGCGCGTAGCCTAAGGCCCACCAAGCCAAAGCCTTCATCTGACTTCCAAGGGGCAGGAAGCCTGCCATTGTTGACGAGACGGTGTGGCAATGCCCCTGGCCGTGGCAAGCCATCTTCCTTGTCTGGACGGGCATGATACCGGGGGCTTTTGATCACTGGAATGGGGTTTGGGGGTCCATTGAACCATATGTGGGGACCGTGAGGTAGCACTCATTCGAAATCAGTTTGTTCCGACCCGTATATTGGTCGGAGAGGAAAAGTGAACAACAAGAGCCAAGAAGACGAAGAAGCAGAAGTAGAAAGGTGCAGAGTTTAGGGTCTAAGAAGCACAGCAGGAGCCAGTTGCAGTCTCGAGATGTGAAGCCCTAACTCTTGCCACTGCAGAAGCAACACCATACAGAACGCACTTCCGAATCCGAAACTCATGAACCTTGAACCCCTTGCGAACCCTTTCATCCTGAATCTCCAAACATCACAATAGTCGTCCGAAGACTGCACCCGTGGCACGCCACATCGTCCTCTCGTGCACAAGCTCGGCCTCGATCCAAGCCCTTCTGGAAGGTGATGATGTCCTTGGAGATGAGGGCTCAGACTTCATTTACAAGCCCACGTGTTACAGTAGGGTCTTGCCAGAGCGCGCACCAAGAAAACAGCAACATGCGAAGGAGACGAAAGGTGCTTTTTGTGGGCACTTTTTTCATTGTGCTGGCCAGCTGATGCCCACTCCTGAAGGCACGCCACACTACACAATGATGCGCCTTGCAGCTCAGGGGCTTCTGTACAAGACAGACCAGTGAGACTAGAAGCCGTGATCCGTCACAAATTAAACCTTCCGCGGAGACAAGTCTGCCTGTTTAGCGCTTTGAGCACATCGTCTGGGAGAGCCAATCCAGACCCTCGTGCAAACCGTCTCCTGTCGTGGCACTAGCCGACTGGATGAACCATCGCCGCTGCTGCAGGTTCTGCAGCTCCAACTTCTCGGTGACTTCTGCTGCAGTCATGGCGTTGGGCAGGTCTTGTTTGTTTGCGAAGACCAGAAGCACTGCATCATGTAACTCGCCTTCATTCAACAATTTGGTGAGCTCCTCGCGGGCGGTGTCGATGCGGTCTCGGTCAGTGCTGTCAACCACATAGATCACGGCTTGCGTGTTCTGGTAGTAGTGTCGCCACAAATGACGAATCTTGTCCTGGCCTCCCACATCCCACACAGTGAATGACAGGTTTTTGTGCTCCACAGTCTCTACATTGAAGCCGATAGTGGGAATCGTGTTGACCACTTCGCCCAGCTTCAGCTTGTAGAGAATGGTGGTTTTACCGGCCGCGTCCAACCCGAGTATCAAAATGCGTTGGTCGTACTTCGTGAGCAAGCGCTGCAGGATCTTCGTGAAGACGATGCCCATGGCTAAAGCGGACAGCGACTTTGAGACTAACGCGGCTGAGCAAACTCTACCAAGTGGCAAGGACACGTCGATGAGAGCAGCAGAAGTTGAGCTGCCGCAAGCCGCACCGCAAAGGTCGCTCAACTGACACCCTACCGCAGGTCTGCTCAACTTCGTTTTTGCAGAAAAATGCCTGTCACCTCTTCTAGTGAGGGGTCCTGCTCAAAGCTCTTCACAAGCCCAAGCCCACGCCCAAGCTGAAGTGAGTCTTCATCCTCATCGAACTTAAGGCATCCCAGGCACAAGGCATTTGCGTATAACCTCCACCGCCTGCAACTGCATGGCTTGCCCAGCGTCAGCAGTGTTGAAATCCAGCTTCCTCGGCTTCACGGCAGCAAGACTTTCACAAGGTGCAAAGCATCGCAGCATCGCCTTCGTTTTAGCCATCACCATTGCCCAACGAAGCCAGCAGCAGCAGCAGCAACACCACCGCCGCCGCCATCTCGGCACCGCCACCCCCCCCTCGTCCACCACCAACACCAACACCGACAACACCAACAACACCAGCAACAGCAGCAGCAGCAGCAAAAACAACAGATTCAGATAGTGCAATGGCAATAGCAACAACGACAGCAACAGCAAAAACAACTAAGCGTCACCATCGTCACGATCATCATCAGCATCGTCCTCACCCGTGGAAGCGATCACAAAACAACTGACACTCGTGTGTGCAACAGTTGTCAAGGACAGGAGAGAACAAAGCACCACTCGCTCACACATGAGCAACACTGGCCGTATAGATGGTCATTACGGTTAGGAATCATGCCACTAGAAGAGGAACTGAGTCTTCAACGATGGCTGCTGCTGCCAAGCCAGTGAACATGCTACTAGTTCGACAAGTGATATGAAAGCAGTTGGTACAGTCTGAAGAATAAAGCATGCACCAGCCCCTACAACTCAGTGATACCGTTCTAGCTAATGCAATTAGTGTGCTTGGGGCACATGTTTTGTGCCAAGAAGAGGATTTCGAGTACAGAGCGGGATATAAAGAGACAGCAAGAAAGGCACTGACGTTCGAGCATTAAAGAGAAACTCAACACCACCACTCAAGACAACCAGTAACATCTTGATCACCACAGCAAGGCAACAAACGATGCAAGGCAGCAACGGAAAACGGAGTGACGATTCGGTCCCGGATGTTCGGCAGCTAAACATCACCCCCTTCCACGACTCTTCGCTCAAGCAGACCCAGCCCAAGCCACTTGGCATGATTTCAGGTACTCGCGCATCACCCCCAAGGCCTAACACCTCTGAGGGCGTAGGGCTCAAGCTCCATAAAGCCGAAACTGAACCTTGAACAGAGAAGCTGGACGACGGGGTCCAGGGCCAAAGCAATTTCGCAGAGCTTGGCCCGCATGAGCGGGGAGGAGTAATCGCATTTCAGGCCATCCTGTACCGCAATGGTGCTGCATTCTCTCTGCTGCTTCTCTCGCTCCATGCGTGGAGATGCAGAGATGGGCACAGATGTAAACAGCCACGGGCATATTTGCCGGCGTTATCGGGACGACCCAAAAGAGCCTACGAATAGTCAGTGATCTTATAAGGCCTTTGGACCCTGTGTGAGTACACACTTCCTTGGCACCCAAAACCCTTCTTCCAGTTCTCCCTCAGGCTGAGGAACCCCCTGCTCTAAAGCCCAGGCCTCCAGAAGCAGGTGCTTGCCACTCGTGGCAAAGCGGTGCGGCTGATTTAGCCGGAGGACCTCCCATCAGAGTGGGGGGTTGGACTGCACTGAGGGGTTCAGGAGTTTGGACTCTCGCAAAACGTTTAACGTTTAGGGTCTTGGCATGGGTTTATAGTAGAAGCCCAAAAGTTGGAAACCCTGTAGCCTCAATCCTTAAGAGTAATGTATAGGGAATCCCAGCACTATTTGGCCTTAATCCGGTTTCCAACTTTTTGGGGTTTACTGTAGGCCTTCAGGGGTGTGGGGGGGGGGTGCGGATTTCGACGCGTGCACTCGTACGCAAGGAGGCACAGTTTCATAACGTACTGCTAGGGCTGTGGGGGCGTCGGGGGTGTCGCGAAGAGTTGGGCGCTTGGACGTTTATTCGGAGCAGGGTACGGAGGGACTACCAATACTCATGACTATAATAACACTGCCAGGAACAGTAATAACAACAACAGCTGTAGTCATAATAATCATCACAACAACCACGAGCCAATGATAATGAGAAGGAGAAGAAGAACAAGAAGTAACATCAGGGTCGGGGATGTCGACCTTTCCTTACGGGTATAAACAACTATATACGGGCCTTAACACCGCGAAGAGCTTCTTGGCTTGAGCGAAATGCATTGTCCCTTCTTCTTGAACCCAGACTCTGCCGATCTTCTCTTTTTTGACAGGCTTGATTAGTGCTCGCCCGGCCAGAATCCCAAGCACATCGCACTCGTGATCTTCTCTAAACCCTAAACCGCCCACCCTCACGCGTGGGGAGGGGAGCTCCACAGCGGGGTTTATGCAGCGGACCTTTTACAGCGCGCAGCACGCGAAGATAAAGGATCTGCGACTGATATCTATATGCACTTGCATAGAATCCTCATTTCTTTTAGTTAGATGATTGCGAGGTGCTGCTGGCCGTTCCTAGACGCCTGAGCCATAGCACCATCAACATGAGCAGCTCCTGCTATGCACAAGTGCTATCATGGACTGTAAACTACACTGTAAACCGTATCATCCGCGACCCTTTTTACACCCTAAACCCGAGACTTCCGGGCGGCTTTGTGAAAAGCTCTCGGCCTCCGCCTTGGACACCTGAAGCCTCGGATGCTTCAAAGGCTCCCAGCCCATCGGATGCCCGGGAGTTTAGGGGGTTTAAAAGCCTAGCTCCGGCCTAGGGTCTGAGCATTTAGACGCTCACACTCGCACGAGGCAGGCAAGGCTCCACATACCGGCTTTGGGCATTAGGATTGTCTCACTGCTGCGTTCTCAAGACATGCTTGGCATCCGCGGTGCCATTTCGCAAGTCCGCAGGCCAGAGATTGAGCTCTCTTTCAGGGCCCGAGGGCTGCTTTGGACATTCCACACTTATAGCCAAGATCGCTCTCAGTGCCGCCAGCCAGGGACGTCATCCGAAAAGATACTATATAATACCACGATTTAAGGCGGCAATTTGGCTGTTCAGGTTTTGCTGTGGTAAGCCGGAGCAGCTCACGAGTCCCACCACCAGAGGCAGCCACGTCAACTAGGAGAGCGTCCTGTTGGCAGGCACAAGTGGTGGCGAAACCACCGCAAATTGAACCTGAAAGTCTGAATGCCTACACTTCGGAACTTCAAGTACCAGTCTGTCAAAAGTCAGGCAGCAGCGAGCCTATTAGGGCCGCCAAATACTCAAGATCTACGGACAAACCTATTTAGCTAGCAAGACCAAAATCCCAAGGACCCCGAGACTAGTATCATGGAAACCCGGAGCCCCCTGTGACAACTTGCCAAATGTCAACGGGCGCCAGCCTTGTCTTTGGCTCGTCCCTTCAGGATCGCACGGAAAGTGGTGCGGTCGGAGCCTTTGTCCTTCAAACGCATACTTAATTAGAATAGGGTTCCTTTAAAGAGGTCTATAAGGGTTAAAGGGATCTATAAGGGTACTATATACCTGGGGCCTTAATATGGGGGCTGTGGCTGTCGGGGGTGTGGCTAGGGGAACAGCATTAACGCTTCACAAACTTATGCAGGCGGGATAACAATCCCGTCGACACAACGGCCAAGCAAGTAGCAGTCGTCGTCGTCATCATGGCTGCCGCAGCAGGAGTAGTAGTAAGTAGTAGCAGCAGTAGTAGCCAAGTAGTAGTCGTCGTTGTTGTAGTAGGAGGAGGAGGAGGAATAGTTGTCCCAGTCCTAGTCCGAGTCGTAGTAACAGCAGGAGGGTGTTGTAGTAGTAGTAGTAGTAGTAGTAGTAGTAGTAGTAGTAGTAGTAGTAGTAGTAGTAGTAGTAGTAGTAGTAGTAGTAGTAGTAGAGTGGTAGTAGTAGTTGTGGTAGTAGTAGTAGTAGTAGTAGTAGTAGTGGTAGTAGTAGTAGTAGTAGTAGTAGCAGTAGCAGTAGTAGAAGGAGTGGTAGTAGTAGTAGTAGTAGTAGTAGCAGTAGCAGTGGAAGTAGCGTAGTAGCTGTAGCAGTAGCTGTAGAAGTAGCTACGGCTGCGGTCGTAGCAGTAGCAGTAGCACTCGCACTCAGTTGTTGTCGCAGTTGCAGTTGCAGTAGCAGTCGTCGCCGTCATCGTGGTGCTAGTACGAGGTTGCTGGGGGTGGTGGTAGTGGTGCTGATAGTTGTTGTGGTCGTCGTTGCAGTTGCAGCCGCAGCAGTAGGAGTGGTAGTCGTCGTAATCATCAGTCGCCACAGAAGCCTTGATGGTATGAATGTTGACATGCGCCAATCGTTGTGATATCCGTCATCACTGCTGGTACTAGCGCAAGATACTGGCAGCAGCGAACTGGTTGACATGCCGTTATCACGAAGTTTAACATGATCTTCATGCTTCGTCTCACGATACTCTTGGAACTTACACTCGCAGACCCCCCGCAAACCTGAAAGCCCCAAACTTGAACTCTCGAACCCCACTTAACTTGAAGCAGCTAACACGTCAAGCATCTCCAGAAACTCCAAACCCAGTAGCAGTTAACCCCAGAAATTTGGAACATGGTTTTAGTGTGACACAATAGCGTTCTAAGCTTCTGGCTTCTACTGCACACCTTCAACCCCTAAAACTCGCTAAGTCTCCAAACCTGCTTAAAGTGCTCCAGGCTAGACCCCCAAACTCCGGGTCCGACAAGGCCATGAAGTCAGGATCCGAGGGCTTCGTGGCAACGCTGCCACGGACGAGCACTCTCCGTCCTGCGGCATACCTTGAGCTCGGGGATGGCTGGGTTGCGTTTAATAATATTCATACTGATATTAATAATAGTACTAATAGTAATAGTAATAGCAATTTCTTGTAAAAGTAATTTGCTCTTTCAGGCTTCGGGTTTAGTGTTGTGGGCATTGAGTTTAGGTCAACTTCGACACACACTCGCTCCAAACAAAAAGCTTAATTTCGGGTTTCACGCTGGATGCTTCGGGTTCCATCATAGCATTGGTCGGGCGACCTTGGGCGGGAATATCAGAGACCGATGCTACCCATAGCTTACACCACAAAGCCTTACACCGTGCGCCACACCCCCCAGTCCTGCACCGTAAATTTCTGCAAGTTTTCTGAACCCTTTTCAGCACGGGCTCGGATCGCGTGCCAGCGAACTCTCCTCACTGAACCCTACATCCTGAGCCGCTCGGCGGCGCCGGGCTGCCGCGGTGTTGCGCGCATGCGCTCCCAGCCCAGTGGAGCAGATGTCCAAAGCCCGGCCTCATCGCCACACCAGAGGAATCCGAAAGGAGATGCTACTAAGTGCGCCAAAGGCCGCTACGACGTACGACAACTTCTACTGCTCCGTCGGTGGTCTAAAAAGACGCAACCAGTGTTGTCATTCGATCGGTCTTTGACTCTCGCACGGTCGGCCAAAGACCCTCCACAAGCCGTACGAGTAAGTCTCAGGGTGTCCAGGGCCGAGGGTGTAATGATAATATAGGGACATTTATACTTAGAATAGGGTTGAGGGGGCCATGATACTATGGCTTTAATAAGGAACCCCCACATGGTATAGGTACTTATTTATGGTCCTGCCGGCAAAGTTCTGAGGCCCTGCCCAGTAACCTGAAATCACCTGCACCCACGACATATTATATAACAGCACCGGGAGCCAGACACAAAAGACCAATAGCTCCAGAACCTCACATCTGTCCGCGACTGCTACAGCTACTGCCTTCTATACTACCAAATTGCGTTTACTACTACTAGGACGACTACTGCTACCGCTTCAGCACCACGGCTTATTGCTACTGCTACTATTGCCACGACGAGGATGACGACGCCGACCGGCTGACTACCTGTAGAATAATGGCAATAATAGAAATAATGGTAATAATAGTAATAATGGTAATAATAATAGTAGTAATAATAGTAGTATCATCTCTTTTCTTAAGCCGGCCTCGACCAGAGCGCTGGGGTCGCAGAGCGCCTCTCAGGCTTTGGACTTCGGCTGAGCTGATGCTAACCCTTCATTGTCCAAACGCTGACGACGTAGGCGGAACCAGTGTGGAAGCTTTGGAAGTACTTGGTAGCCGTCGTCGTCGCCGACGTGCGAGGTGGTTCGGAGGGTGTGGGCTCAGCTAATGCCGAGATCGCAACAGACGGTAAAACTTCCAAGTGCTGTACACAAGGTCCCTCTTCCTGTCTTGTCTTAGTTCGGAGAAAGTTGACGCGAACTTCGGCTCGGTCCAAACCTGGTTGGCTGTTTCAGAAGCGAAAATGTGCAGCCAGTCAGCTTGCCGGATCGTCGACCAGGTCTTAATTACGGCAGCCGCTGTGCAAATCACGAAGCCATCGCATGCGGCTCATGTATATGTACATAGTATGTATGTATATATATATATACACTATATATATATATATAGATAGATAGATAGATAGCAGCAGCAGGAGGAGGAGGAGAAGGAGGAGGAGGAGGAGTAGTAGTATAGTCCACACTTTCCAAGCCTCGGGGCTCATGTCCGGCAGCGCTCCGAAGAGACTGGCAGACGAAGCAGAAGAACCCGCCAGGCGCTCCGAGTAAAGCGCCGGCAGCTTTCCGGCAGTCCTGAAAGATCTGGGGCCTAGAAGGGCTTATACACTCTGGAGACTCGGACTCTGCCAGACGAGGTCTCTCAGCTTAGAAGGGTTAGGGTTTAGGGTTTAGGCGGGTTTCGACTCTCAGCGGACCAGGCTACGAGGTTGTCAGGTTCAGGGTTGAGGACGACATGCGGCAATGTAGGCCGGATTGAGCGCTGTTCCAGCGTTCGTCTCCCGTGGTCTCGGCCCCGATGATATGGCGCAGAAGATATTCATGGCGGAAAAGTTTACGCCGCAATCCCCCAGAACCTCTAGATCCTAAACCCCTGAACCCTGCAAACCCGAAGCCGCCGAAACCCCCCAAAAACTCGCTGGCAACCCCTGAAACTCCGCAAAGCCAAAGGCTCCACAACTGCCGGAACTCGGCAATCGCCAACTTCCGGGGGTCCTCGGCTGGCTTTTCTTCGGGGGGCCCCGGGGAAAATCTTGGCGGAGGGAACCACTCAAGCACCCCGAAACATGTAGACGCGAATAGAGTGTCTGTTAAATACACAACTAGATGCATACATCATTCAGAATATGCATGATCTACTACAGACTACTACACATATATACATGTAGCCATTCAATGTGCGAGAGCTCCTGCCGGAATCGTGGCAACTCTCACTCGGGTACCCTTGATGGGCGGCCTCCACTTCGCGCAGGGCCCGGGCGACCTTCTGCAGAGCTACAGTTACGGGGTTGCTCCTGATTCTGGTTCGAATGGAGCGACTCCTGGATTTTTCCCTCCGACCTAGCAAGGACGAAGCCCGCTCCGAAGCAACAGTAGACGACTCGTGGATGGGGACAGGGGTGGAGCCTTTACATCAGGCATCCCAATGCAACGTCCAAAGGTGCCACCTCACCGGCATTGTCGAGCGCATCCGCGACCACGACATTTTGCGCATGAACCACCAACTTGCCTGGTCAACATGGCCGGGCTCTTAAACCCCCCAATCAATCTTGGGCTGTGGGATGTTTGGGAAACGGGCATCTTTGGGGGAAGATCTTCACGGCGCAGGGCAACTTGGCTTGGGCTTGAAGGGAGCCAGGGTTCGAAAGCTTTAAAATTTTGGGCTTATGAATCATGCTACAACCGAGCAGGAGCAACATTACTACTATCCGCCTTACTTTGATTCCATTTCCAGGTTAGGTGTTGCAAGGCCTTGAGTTCGCAAATGTGCTTCGAACCTCTTGCACCCCAACACCCTCCCGGACCCTCCCCATACTGAATCCTTACAGTACTTGCAAACTGCACACCCTGAAGATGAGTAAATCCAAAACACAAAACACTGACCGCTAGCCCATAAAAGCCCGAAACCTCAATCCCGAGACGCTTGATTCCAGCGTTTTGGCTACTGGACTCAGGTCTAGCCGTCTAGCCAGACTAGGACCTGCAAATCCTTGCATCAGGACTTGTGCGATCGACGAAACCCCCAAACCTCTGCGCCAGTGCACTGGCAGCCAAATCCCATGAGCCGCGCGCCTGCCGTAGTGGCACCTTTCGCCTCAAGCCGCTTCTCTAAGCCTCCGCCGACAGCCTCGTCCGGAGCCTGTTTCAGGGTTGCCATGGCACTGCCATGGCTTTAAGCGTCTAGGGCTCTAGGGGTAGTTTGAAGTTCTCGTTTCACGTCCTACTTAGGGGCGCTTGGGTTCTTTAGGGGTGTTGGGGTCGAGGAGTCTAGGGAGCTTTAGGAATTTCAAGTCAAGACTTGGATTTGGAGCTCATGAAAGAGGCGACCAGGCTGGAGGGCGATGTGACATTTGGTGTTGGGTTCAACCTCGAGTTGTCCGGAGAAAGACCAAAAGCTCTCCACTACGACTACACTTGACACTACCACCTGATTTTGAGAATCAAAGCCGTCCGGACCCTGAACGCCCCGGGTCTCCAGCGGGTCGCCTCACCGGCTAGGAAGGCTACGATGCGACGTTGAAGCTGGGGTCCCAGCTGCTTGTCCCCACCTGGGCGTGTCGTCGTGCAAGACGCTTGCAAGACCGGCAAGGCTTCACGGCGACTATGGCGACTGCTTATGAGTAAGTTTGGGCTTGGGGGTAGTAGGGATCGAAGACCTGGCGGGACCCCCCACGAAACCTCCTGGCGGAGCTATGAAGACCCCGTTGATGGAATCCTCCTAATCAACCCACGTCCATAAGACCCCGTGAGAAAATCAACCCCAACCCCAAGCCAGGTTGCTCCCGTCTCCTTTCCGGGAACTTGGTGCAATTCCAGGCACCCAGAGACATCCCAGGCTTCCACCGGGATCCCAGCGTATAGACCTCTCAGTCGCTCATTTCTATTGGATTTTCGTTTAATCGGACGAAGTAGCAATGATTCTACCTTAGTACCCCCTGGGCCCTATTGTCGTCCCATTAATACCTATAAACCGCAAACACGCTAGTTTACAAATAATGGCAACAAGAATAGCAAGAACACTGGCAAGCAGCATAACTTAGCCAGCAGAGGCATGTCAATGTGGTCATAGTATAGCTTAGTCCAAAATGGTCCAAATACGACAAGGCTTTTTTAGGGCTTCGGGTTGACGGCTTGGAGCTTTTAGCATGTCGGGGCTGCAACGAAGGTCAACGCAGCCCAGCGTTTCAGGTTTGAAGGGCTATTTCTCCCCGCATGCGAGTCCCAGATTTGGAGGGTCGAGGAGACTGCTTGACGAAAGTAGGGTTAACCTTCCGGGAACGTATCTGAAACTTAAATCAAAGAGCTTTCTGTTCACCTTTCCTTACTTGGCTGTTGGTTGACATGGCTTCGGAAGTGGAAGATGGGTCTTGCACAAGGGATTGCTCCCTGCACCCTTCGAACAACGTCCTTATCGCTGCTGCAGCCTCTGCCTGGTGCGTCAAGCTCACGATGCGTGAAGGCTTGCTAATTTAATGCAAAGCCTCTAATCCTATCGGAAAAAATTGCAATGCTGAGCATCGCTCGCAAGATTTAGGGAGCTTTATACACCTTCACTACCAGCTGGCCGCAAACACCGCTGGATGCGGCCGACAAGCTCCACTGCCTGTGGCCCGCACTGGGCTCACCGTTGCTTGATCTGCGGCCCGCCGAAAGTCTTCTCCACGTTGGCCAGCGCAGTGTCCCAATTCACGGAGTTGAAGAGCTCGTCGACGTTGCTTTGCTTCGCCACGAGGAGTGCACGCTTGCCGTAGGGAACGGACTTGAAGAGCTCGAGGGCGAGACCTCCAGGGCTCATCTCAGCTGCCAGCCACACCCAGCCCTTTCCGTCATCGACCACCTTCTGTGTCTCATCCACGCCGTAGCCAACGCCACCCTTGGTCACGAACATCGGGTTCGCCATCTGCGCTTTGAGGCCCTGGACGCCCACAGCGATGTCCTTCTTGCCAATGCTGCCCGGGGGCGGGCCTTTCCAGAGTCCGGAGTAGCGCTTGAAGCCCTGGGGCGTGAACTCGCCGTGGAAGAACTTGACCACGAGCTCAGAGAGCACAGTTCCCTTTGGGGGGTCACCTCCGCTGCCGGTCAGCAGGGAAGAGTAGAAGGACTCAATGTCCGCGTCGCTGACGTCGTACTCGCCGCCTCCCCGTGCCTGGAGCTGCGTTCGAGGAGCTTTCGGTGCAGCGGGCGCAGCCACGAAGGCTGCGAGCTGGGTGGCCACGTACCCTGCCGCCACAAGGGACAGGCAAACGAGAGGCCGGCTGGAGCGCGGCATTGTGTGGAGCTCTATAGGCCAGAGGGGCAACGCAGAGTCGTAAACGCTTGAGCCAAGTTGCATTGAGGCTTGATGCTGTCGCAACTCGGACAAGTCAGACGGGTACTCTCACGGCTAGCCGTCGGTCTACAGGAGGCAGAGACTTCAAGCGCAGGCATCAGCTGAACAGACCAAGACACAAGTCTAACCCCAACAAGTAACCAACAGCTATGACAAATGATGGCCCTCATTGAAGATGAGTAAAAGCCTCAGCGAAAGCGACGGTGGTCATGGTAGGGCTGAGGCGCCAGGATTTAGATGTAAGAAGAGTGTTGTATATCTGGACAAAGCAATGATTTGGAAGTATCACATGAGCCCTCGAGTTCCTTGCACTCCCGTGAGAGGTGAGTCAAGTTCAAGATGTGTGAAGGCTTGCTGGTGCAAAGCCTCTAATCCTATCGGAAAAAATTGCAATGCTGAGCATCGCTTGTATCTAGGGAGCTTTATACACCTTCACTACCCGCAGGCCGCAAACACCGCTGGATGCGGCCGACAAGCTCCACTGCCTGTGGCCCGCACTGGGCTCACCGTTGCTTGATCTGCGGCCCGCCGAAAGTCTTCTCCACGTTGGCCAGCGCAGTATCCCAATTCACGGAGTTGAAGAGCTCGTCGACATTGCTCTGCTTCGCCACGAGGAGTGCGCGCTTGCCGTAGGGAACGGACTTGAAGAGCTCGAGGGCGAGACCTCCAGGGCTCATCTCAGCTGCCAGCCACACCCAGCCCTTTCCGTCATCGACCACCTTCTGTGTCTCATCCACGCCGTAGCCAACGCCACCCTTGGTCACGAACATTGGGTTCGCCATCTGCGCTTTGAGGCCCTGGACGCCCACAGCGATGTCCTTCTTGCCAATGCTGCCCGGGGGCGGTCCTTTCCAGAGCCCGGAGTAGCGCTTGAAGCCCTGGGGCGTGAACTCGCCGTGGAAGAACTTGACCACGAGCTCAGAGAGCACAGTTCCCTTTGGGGGGTCACCTCCGCTGCCGGTCAGCAGGGAAGAGTAGAAGGACTCAATGTCCGCGTCGCTGACGTCGTACTCGCCGCCTCCCCGTGCCTGGAGCTGCGTTCGAGGAGCTTTCGGTGCAGCGGGCGCAGCCACGAAGGCTGCGAGCTGGGTGGCCACGTACCCTGCCGCCACAAGGGACAGGCAAACGAGAGGCCGGCTGGAGCGCGGCATTGTGTGGAGCTCTATAGGCCAGAGGGGCAACGCAGAGTCGTAAACGCTTGAGCCAAGTTGCATTGAGGCTTGATGCTGTCGCAACTCGGACAAGTCAGACGGGTACTCTCACGGCTAGCCGTCGGTCTACAGGAGGCAGAGACTTCAAGCGCAGGCATCAGCTGAACAGACCAAGACACAAGTCTAACCCCAACAAGTAACCAACAGCTATGACAAATGATGGCCCTCATTGAAGATGAATAGAAGCCTCAGCGAAAGCGACGCTGGCAATGTAAGAAGAGTGTTTTAAAGCTGGACAAAGCAATGATTTGACTGAATCACATGAACCCCGCCCCAAGACACCAGACCCCCTGCCTCGAGTTCCTTGCACTCCCGTCAGAGGTGAGTCAAGTTCACGCTGTGAGGAGGCTTGCTAGTGCAAAACCTCTAATCTCTAATCCTATCGGAAAAAATGCAATGCTGAGCATCGCTCGCATCTAGGAAGCGCTATACACCTTCACTACAAGCTGGCTGGATGCGGCCGACAAGCTCCACTGCCTGTGGCCCGCACTGGGCTCACCGCTGCTTGATCTGCGGCCCGCCGAAAGTCTTCTCCACGTTGGCCAGCGCAGTATCCCAATTCACGGAGTTGAAGAGCTCGTCGACATTGCTCTGCTTCGCCACGAGGAGTGCGCGCTTGCCGTAGGGAACGGACTTGAAGAGCTCGAGGGCGAGACCTCCAGGGCTCATCTCAGCTGCCAGCCACACCCAGCCCTTTCCGTCATCGACCACCTTCTGTGTCTCATCCACGCCGTAGCCAACGCCACCCTTGGTCACGAACATCGGGTTCGCCATCTGCGCTTTGAGGCCCTGGACGCCCACAGCGATGTCCTTCTTGCCAATGCTGCCCGGGGGCGGACCTTTCCAGAGCCCGGAGTAGCGCTTGAAGCCCTGGGGCGTGAACTCGCCGTGGAAGAACTTGACCACGAGCTCAGAGAGCACAGTTCCCTTTGGGGGGTCACCTCCGCTGCCGGTCAGCAGGGAAGAGTAGAAGGACTCAATGTCCGCGTCGCTGACGTCGTACTCGCCGCCTCCCCGTGCCTGGAGCTGCGTTCGAGGAGCTTTCGGTGCAGCGGGCGCAGCCACGAAGGCTGCGAGCTGGGTGGCCACGTACCCTGCCGCCACAAGGGACAGGCAAACGAGAGGCCGGCTGGAGCGCGGCATTGTGTGGAGCTCTATAGGCCAGAGGGGCAACGCAGAGTCGTAAACGCTTGAGCCAAGTTGCATTGAGGCTTGATGCTGTCGCAACTCGGACAAGTCAGACGGGTACTCTCACGGCTAGCCGTCGGTCTACAGGAGGCAGAGGTTTCAAGCGCAGGCATCAGCTGAACAGACCAGGACACAAGTCTAACCCCAACAAGTAACCAACAGCTATGACAAATGATGGCCCTCATTGAAGATGAATAGAAGCCTCAGCGAAAGCGACGCTGGCCATGTAAGAAGAGTGTTTTAAAGCTGGACAAAGCAATGACTTGACTGAGTCACATGAACCCCGCCCCAAGACACCAGACCCCCTGCCTCGAGTTCCTTGCACTCCCGTCAGAGGTGAGTCAAGTTCACGCTGTGAGGAGGCTTGCTAGTGCAAAACCTCTAATCTCTAATCCTATCGGAAAAAATGCAATGCTGAGCATCGCTCGCATCTAGGGAGCGTTATACACCTTCACTACAAGCTGGCTGCCAACACCGCTGGATGCGGCCGACAAGCTCCACTGCCTGTGGCCCGCACTGGGCTCACCGTTGCTTGATCTGCGGCCCGCCGAAAGTCTTCTCCACGTTGGCCAGCGCAGTGTCCCAATTCACGGAGTTGAAGAGCTCGTCGACATTGCTCTGCTTCGCCACGAGGAGTGCGCGCTTGCCGTAAGGAACGGACTTGAAGAGCTCGAGGGCGAGACCTCCAGGGCTCATCTCAGCTGCCAGCCACACCCAGCCCTTTCCGTCATCGACCACCTTCTGTGTCTCATCCACGCCGTAGCCAACGCCACCCTTGGTCACGAACATTGGGTTCGCCATCTGCGCTTTGAGGCCCTGGACGCCCACAGCGATGTCCTTCTTGCCAATGCTGCCCGGGGGCGGACCTTTCCAAAGCCCGGAGTAGCGCTTGAAGCCCTGGGGCGTGAACTCGCCGTGGAAGAACTTGACCACGAGCTCAGAGAGCACAGTTCCCTTTGGGGGGTCACCTCCACTGCCGGTCAGCAGGGAAGAGTAGAAGGACTCAATGTCCGCGTCGCTGACGTCGTACTCGCCGCCTCCCCGTGCCTGGAGCTGCGTTCGAGGAGCTTTCGGTGCAGTGGGCGCAGTCACGAAGGCTGCGAGCTGGGTGGCCACGTACCCTGCCGCCACAAGG